TTGGGTTCCTTATATTCATTTACACGCAAATACCATTGAGAAAGATATGAATCCATTTTTTCTTCCTCCACAACTATGGATTAAATAGCTGGACAAACTGGGCCCTATAGCCTTGATTGGCAACTAGTCTACTGTGGAAAGAAATGGAAAATCTTCTGCCTAATCAGTCATGAATCAAGAGGGACATGATCGCCCAAACGTGTATCACATATGGCACTTAACTGACTGAATGATGGAAGTATTTCAATGGAGTTTCCGAGAAGAGAAAACAATATGCAATTAATTGATCCCTGAAAACATTAAATTGTCTTAGATTCTCTAATCAAGTTCAGCAGAAAAAAAATTTTTAGAAATAATTTCTCGATGGAGACAGTTACTAGATTGAGTAGTAATGTTGGTTTTATCTGACATTTTTTTCTACTTTCCCCCCCCCATACGTTTACTGTCATATGATGCACTCATATATCTTGTGGCATCAAGTCTCTGGCACATGTGCATTCATTCTGCAGTTTTATCTAAGGCAGTCTAATCGAAAAAAAAAGGGAGTCAGTGAGTGGAGTTCAAGTTCTCACCTAGTCTGATACATTCACTTTTACACAAATGAACTTGAGAACAACATGACTCCATTTGTTCTCCTCCTAGTTATGGGTTAAATAGTAGGGTTTTCTAGCCATGGGTGGCAACCAGTCAAGGAGAAGGACTATTCAGAATCATGGAGAAGGCTATAACAAAGTACTACAGTATCATTTCCGAGATGTCGTGGCAATTCAGATAAAAGGAATCTGTGGAGAGCCATGATTGTTTACATCTTGAAGATGTATTTAATAAAGGTAAATTGGTTAAACAGCAAGGTAGAAAGGTCTCTCTAGCCTTGGCAGGTAGCCATTCTAGGAGAAGGACTACTCTGATTTCAGAAACTGTGACAAAAGCAACAGGCGTCCACTCCACTGTTTTCCAAGAAATGGCAATTCACAGATAATGAAGAGAAGGAGTCTATGGAGGGCCATGATCATTTACACCCTGAAGAAACATTGGATTTTTAAAAAAAATAACTACATTTAAATCACTTTCTATCTTACTGCAGAGTGGATGCTCTTATTTTGTGCCCAAAGGTTGTAGTGAACATCTTTAAGAAAAAGTGGACTTTTATATTTTTTTCTATAATTATCATTCTAATCTTTTTAAAAATAAAACATTTGTACCATTTTTTTTTTTTTTTGACTTTAAATAAACTGAAGGGAAACTGATTGGTTGTAAATAAAGACAAAATCAAAACGATAAAAGCTATAGAATCTTTTCTACCTGAGCAGATTATATTTCATGTTAACGAAGCCAATAAATCACCCCTCCACAAACTCAAAATCAACCAACTTAATTTCTTTTGTTATTATTAGCATCAATGAGAATTTTCATTCTAATATTTATATATAATTTTTTCTAGTCTTTATTATTGTACAAATTTTGAAAAGATATTTTTATGTCATTGACCAATGTTCACATCAGTTTTTTTTTGTGTGTGCATGTGGACAGCAATGTTTGTTTTATTTATTCACTTTTTACAATTTTTAGCTGATCTTAATAAAAAAAAAAAAAAACAACAATGATTTACCTAAAACTTGTTGTGTTATCTTTCTGATTCTTCTATCTGAGTAACTTTTCTGATTACCCAGAAATTCATACCCAGATGTCCTCAAGGACACATGGCACAGTGGATAAAGGCGTTGGTTAGATCCAGTGACAGGACCCAAAGAGTGTGAGTTCAATACCCGGTTCAGAGGGAAAATTAACGGGAGATAACTGATAACTGACATCCATCAAACATGGCACGTGGAACTAGAACAGTCTACCCCAGTGAGCGAAATAAAGGGTTCAGTTCAACATTCCAACCACCTGAAGAAGGCTGGAGCGTACAACGGCCGAAACGTTGTGATAAATATGGCGACAAAGATGAGGAATAATGTATATTTTTCCTTATCCATTCTGAATAAAATGTCTTTAATTTTAATGTCTGAATTAATGCAAGTAAAAGCATGTCACTTAGATGATTGATGTTATCTTTAGAATCCCGATTGCAGAGTTACGTAGACAGACCCTCCAGGATTTACTCTGTCCATTCGTCAGGAGCTATTGCAGTCGAATGTATTAAATTATGCAATCACCAACTGTCAAAGGTTTTTTTGAGTTTTATTAAATTATTTTATAAAGTTCGACACGAATTTTCCGTATGTTCATTCTTGATAATTCTTTCACTAAAATAAAATCTTGAGGGACTTTTGTTTCAATAAATGTAAAAGTGAAAATCGTGAAGAAACCCAAATTAAAAAGAAGAAGAGATATTGAAGTAATGGTAGGAGGGTAAAACAGATCCCCCAGAATAATATTTGCACAAAGCTTTCTAATAAAATAAACCTATTTAGTATAAAGTTAATGAACAAATACAGAAGATAGTGAAGGGAAGCGCAAAGAAATGGCTAAACCTCAATTCTATGAAGACAGAATGTGTGGTTGTCAACAAAAAGAGGCCAAATTGGAGATGCCAAAATCCAGTAAGTACAACAATTTAAATATCAAGGAAATGTTTTAACAAAGTATAGAATTTGTAACACCGAAATCCGAAGGCGTATTGGAAAATGCCTTCCAAAAGCTAAGCAGCATATTAAGAAACAAGAAAATGTCTTTAGAAACAAAGGAACTGTTATGTAATAGTGGTCCACCGATATGACGGTGGATGCTGAACAATGTCATTGCAAATTAAGAAAATATCTGAAGCAATAGAAATGTAGTTCTACAGAAGTGTTATGTAGTGGTTTCACAGTGGAGGGTTGTATTTCACTAAGTCGGTCCTAAAATAGGTTCGACGTACAAAATGTTAGGAACTTGATATAATAGGTAATGACACAGTAATCTAGTTGGGGTGGCTGATACTTTAATATCCGACTAACGGTCGTCGATATCGACTGACTGACCAACTCACTGAGCGACTGCTATTACTACTACTACTACTTATTATAGGTGGGAGAATCTATTAACTACAGAATAGGTGTGTTCCACTATAACAAGAAGGATACCATGGATTAAACATGTGAACATTGACGAAGTTTTAGGTAACATAGAAACAAAAAAGACAATTATACTTAACATCAGAAAGAGACAATTGAGATTTCTATGGCACATAATGAGGAAAGAGGGCTTTGACACTGACAGGACATATTGAAGGCAAGACAGAGAAAAACAGCACCAAACCTACACAATGGTTTTGTGTGAATGGTTGGCAGATCGGGAATTGGGAGAGATAGCAAAGAGACAAAAGAGCTACAAACTACATGAAGTTGTGGAGAACCGTGAGCGTCCACTTTCTGAACGGACAAGTCGCATCGGAGAAGAATGAAAATTTCATTTGAATTGAATATTTCTTCGATTTTTGGCCATTAAAAAAAAAGTATCTTCTCTTTTCGGCAAAAGCGCATCCATGTAAATCTATATAATAAATGCGAATGTCAGTGTACCACATTTTTTCAACATTTCTCCTAGAAGCCATAGCTCAACATATCCTACCATTTTGAAATTAGGCCGACTCCGTGAGTAAATTAAAAACATTCAGGGTCGGATCCAGACTTGCAATCCTGAAATTTTGGATTCCCAAGTTTTTATTACTTCGATTGTTTTCGGATTCCGGCTTCTACTGATAAAAACAATTAAAGGGACACAACTCTCTAACTTTCAATAGCTCATGCTCAAATGAAAAGAATTTTTGTTCCCAAATTACAGTGTTTCAAAAAAAATGTCTGTGTTTTCAACTTTACTCCTAGAGGCTATAGACCATCATATTATATCATACCATTTTGGAATCAGTCCGACTCTGTTAGCAAATTAAAAACATTCAGGATCGGATCCAGACTTGCAATCCTGAAATTTTGGATTCCCAAGTTTTCATTATTGCGATTGTTTTCGACGATTTTTTGCGAAGAATTTTTTGTACGATAACAATTTTTATAACTTGGAAATAAATTTGGAAATAATCGAAATTAATTGTGAAATCCAGCAAAAGTCATCCATGAAATAAAAATAATTGTTTGTACATGAAATTGTCTTTGACAAGTGGCGACAGAAGAATTATCGTTGAACTTTTAAAAGGTAAGCTTAAATATTAATGCAATACTTAAATGCAGCGATCAATTCTGAGTTCTTCTGTAGTTTATTGTTGCCTGTTTCATCAACTCCTCCCTACCTATTGAGATGAATGCCCAATCAAGAGCCCTCTGTAAATCAGTCAGTTATGTGCCATGCGTGATATGTATCTTTTGATACGTGACTGACGAGGCAGATTATGTATCTTTTGATACGTGACTGACGAGGCAGATTTTTTTCCCCGCAGTAGGTTGCTATCTCTTTCTGTGGTAGACCAGTTGCCATCCAAGGCTACAGAATTCGGTCTGTCCTGCTATGTACCCATAGCTGGAGGCGGGTAGAAAGAGAGGATTCATACCTTTCCCAAGGTAAGTGAACATAATGGATTCGACTGGAATTCGAACACGGCTCTCCGATTTCTCAAGCCGAGCCGCTATCCATTATAGCGGCTTGAACTGAGGGAGCTAGGTTAAATGTCACCCGATAGGGCGTTTTTTAAGCTAGTCATATATAAATTAACTAGCACGAAGAGTTACGCATACAAACTCACAGCCTTAGTAGCGGATAGAAACTCCGCCATAAAGCTTACGCTTTTCTTAGACTGTCGCAATTTGTCTACCAAAAATGTTTAACGTTTGCTTTGAAAGAGAAGAAAAGAAAAATGCCGACATCGTCTTAGATTATTTCAGTATTAGATTAAAAAAAAAAAAATTTAAAAGAAGTATCTATCCGGATAAATATTTTCAAGTGTCTCTTACATGCGCACATCCTGAGGGTGCATTTTTTCTTTAATAACATTACTCGAATATTCAGGACGGAAATAAAATACTGTTTAAAAATAAAACGTAGCGGCTAATCAAATATGGGATTTATGGTCACATCCCGATGAATCATTAGCTCCCGTACGGTCACCGAAGTTAAGCAACGCCGAATCTGGTCAGTACCGAGATGGCTGACCACTTGGGAATACCAGGTGGTTTATGTTTAAATGTGCTGGTAATCTAATGGATAATGGAATATTTAATCGGAGAGCTGAGTTCCAGTTCCCATTGTGTTTGTTTTATTCACTTACGCACAAATTCCAAACTCACTACTAAGTCTTGTTGGGCATTTCCTACTCTGTTTAGGACTTCTTTTAGGCACGGTCTTAAACTTTTGGCCAGCTAGTATTTAGCCTAATTTGCCAGTATTCAGATTTTCCCTATTAAATGCTTAAAAAAGGGCTTTAATTTTTCCTTTTCCTTATTTTCATTTTTAGAAGCTCTACTCATATAAAACGTAAAAGGTTTAATTTTTTTCTATTTTCATTTGCCAGCCGTACACACACACACACACACACACACACACACACATATCTTTATCTATAAAAGACAGGATGTGTGTGTGTGTGTGTGTGTGTAACGAATGCACGGTCGCAATTTTCGACGGATTTGCACCAAAATTTACATGCAGATGCTCCAACTTAGCGGGAAGGCCAAGCCCAACATTGCATTTCCCAACTCCCATCGATAGTGGAAATAATCGATCTTTTCATGCTTCTACGACAATTTTCATGTAGTTTGCGGCCATTTTGTACTGGCCAGAGTGAGAGCCAATAGCTGGCTGCCACGAATAGGCAGGAAGATTCTATTGACCAGCGTGAGAGCCAACAGCTCACTGACACGAATGTTAACTAGCATGCAAAAAAATCGATAGCTGCATTCGTCACAAGTGGGAAAAATTTATATCTGCATGGCACTTTACACCAATTGGCTCATTCGTTGATTCTGATTCCGCAGAACTGGTTTGAGTGTGAAAAAGTATTTGTTATTAACATTCTTTTTTCATTCGCTTTTTCCAGTTATGAGTCCTTTTTTTTTTTAAGCTGATCGTTTTGTGCTCATTTTGTTTAGTTCTTTTTTCGTAACAGATTTAATGCTTAGTATAGAGCTTAGAAAAAATTCGCAGTGTGAGATAGACAAGAAGTAAGGCATATGTAGCAACATCAGCACGGCAAAGGGCACTTCTTTAAAGGCAAGGAAGGGCAAAAATATTTTAAGTCAAGTGATAGCGATTGCTGTATGAGTCGTACGATTTTTGAATCAAGCACAGGCAACGCTGGGCTAGTATATATATATATATATATATATATATATATATATATATATATATATATATATATATATATATATGGAATTAATGGATTTTATTTTTAATTTAAATTTATTTCTTTTTACTCTAAAGGTTATTTTAGTGTATACACATGTTTGAGTATGCACTAGTAGATGCCAAGTATTTTTTGTTGTTGTTGTTTTTTGTTTTGTTTTTTGTTTTGTTTTTTTTTTTTTTTTGTTTTTTTTACATCCTGAATTACGACTCTGAAATGTTGAAGGTTTTTTTAAAAATAGAAAGACGTCAACTCGAATTCCAGCCAACCTCAACTTGCAAAGCTCGGAATAAACGCTACTTTTTAAACAGCACAAAAACTACACCATAACCTGACAAACTTGGACGGAAATTAACAACACCGAAAACACATCCCCTGGAAAATGGTTAGTAGATTTAGACTGTATTAACTCAAATTGATTGACATAGGTATATTTATTTCATGATTTATGTAACCAAGCGAGGCCTTAGTCTGAGTAATAGTTAATGAGTCAGTTTTGTATTACATTACTACTGATATATATAAAGGTAAATGGCGTAGCCACTCGATTCTGGTTGGCGGCATTTGTGTTTATTCAACACCCACAGAGCCTACCTGTGGTTTATACTGTAAATATGCTGAGCGGACCTTAGTTACTGGGAGCGAGTGCGTTATCTAGCTATCGCTCAAACACTCGGTCACGATGAGCAGCGTGAAAGGGACAAAAATCGAAAAGGTATTACTTGTTATATTTATCGGAGGGAAAAACGGCTAAGCCGGATGATGCATTTCATGTTCTTTGTTTGAATCACATTCTTTCTCCTTACTGCCGCGGGCTATCACGTCTACCACTGTCGTAGTCTACACAGTAACTGCCACACACGAGCTGTCGTCATTACCGAGCTGACGTCACCTACTTGTCATCACGTGACCCTTGTCAATTCTTTGACCCCAGTTGGCGTCGGAGGCATGGAGCGACTTTGAGGATATCATTACTCATAAGGATTGGTGCAGATTTAGAAATTGCTCTGTGGTGATGAAATGTTACGAGTTTACTTTTGGATGTATCGAATGATATAGGCCAGTCTTTTCCCATTGGGCTATGAGAGCTAGATGAGAGTAGAGATCAGCAAAAACCCTATTATGGGCCTTGAGGACAGGAGATAATCAAAATAGTTAATCCATGTTTCTAAGCCCGGCCATTAGATAAAATTTTTAATTAACTATTTTTTTTTAACTATCGTCTGCTTCTTCCAAATTCTTTACGTCCCGGGTAAGACGATAAACTACGTCCAACAGCAAGGCATCTGATCCAGGGGTTCTGAGGAGCGTGGAACCACCTCTTAATTGGTGGGTGTTCTCAGGTTCACCCTGACTCGGGGTGGTAGCACCTGTTAGGGTACCAACTATGGGCAAATAGTTAACCCCCCAAACTGGGGTCAAAACATTATGAAAGTGTAAAAATAGGTTTTAATACCCTAAATAATTTGTAAAAGAATTATTACCAGCAATACATTTTTTTTTAAATATTACCACCGATACATATTTGAAGGAAAATTATTACCAGAAATAGATTTTTGAAGAAAAAAATATTACTAACAATAAAAAAACTTGTCGGTATTAAATAACACATTGAGGTTGATATGCCGTAAAACAAAACAAACCAAACCAAACCAAACTTTTTACCTCTAAAAATTGTTACAAAGCAACCAATCAGGCCACAACACTTGATTTTTCAATACCCTTTCTAAAATAATTTAATATAAGGAGAATATTTTACTTTGTTTTAATTAGTATTTATAATAAAAGAAAATTAATTTTTTTTTTAAAATCCAATGGAAATAATTTTTCGATTACAAAAAAAAAGTTTTTCTTTTCAATTATTGAATGTCAGGCCATATCATTTTTTTTATGAAGGCTTCGACATGAGGTCATGGTTACTGAGCTAGTCTGGTTGACAGTTTCTAGTAATTACTGGGTTTGATTTTTACTAGGTGCTCCATATTTATGGCCTTGTTCCACAACTAAGAAAAACTTAAATGATGATGACGTGAAGAGAGATACAACCACCCATGGATAAGCTTGCTTGATTAGTTTTTATGTCTTATCTACTTCTTGCAGGTTATTTAAGATAAGCTTGAAGCTTACATATCTGGAAAGTGACATTATAGAAGGTTTTTTTTTTTTTTGTGGGGGAAACTCGAAAAATGACCTCTTAAGAATGAATGTTAATTACTTCTTCGTTTTACGCCATTTTGGATAACGACTTAGACCCTTGCTCATGTCGGTCTTTGTTTGGTTGATTTGGTTTAGTCTCGTAACAACCTCTTTGGGTTATTTAATACCGAAATCTAATAATGTTGAACAATTTTATGGCTTCAACTAAATATATTTTGAACGCAATCGTATCCCCTCAGCTACAGATAAAACGTATTGTTGTTCATTTTCGTATAATATATATATATATATATATATATATAAGCATTACGCCCTGAGCAAGGCGTGAAGCCACTAGGATGCAAGGGGTTGCAGAAGTTTTGGAGCGAGAGCAGATAGGAGTGATAGAAGAAAGGATGAGGAGAGGGATAGTGGAAAAGATCAAGGTAACTGGAGATGTCGATTGACATTACACTTGAATAGTTGGAGATTATAGCTCTCAGGGAAACAGTAATTGGGAAGGATGTTCCACAGACGAGAGGTGCTAGGTATGAAGCTATTGGAGTAGAAGAGACGGCTACATTTAAAAGTTTCTACAATGTAAGGGTGGGAGCGGGATGCCGTCCTCGTAGGGCTCTTGAATTCATGGAGTCTGGGAACCAGTGAAAGCAGCTCAGCGGAGCAATTACCATGAAAGTATTTGTAGAAAAGACAGAGAGAGGCGACGGCGCGTCTGTGAGAGAGTGACTGTAGACGAGATGCCAGATCAGGGCCAATTATATTACATATCCGTCTCTGGATCTTGTCAAGAACTCCGAGGTAAACAGAAGGTGCCCCAGACCATATATGGCGGCCATACTCCATGCAAAGTCTAATCGTTGATTTGTATATTTGAAGTATCGATTCCTGGGAGAAAAATTTCCTGGCGCGGCACAGAGAGCCAACTTTCCTCGCGGTGGACGATGCAATTGACTCAATGTTCTATCTCAGGTCAGCAGTCAACGTGAGACCGAGCAGACGCAGAGAGTTGCTCTCAAGAAGTTGACTATCAGACATTCTAATGGGGGGCAGGGAAGGTAATATCAGGCCATATTTGTGGCCTGATATTACCAACGAAATGCTTTATATATTTTCATGGCGTTTTCATTTTGCTTCAGAGTTAACTATTTGCTCATAGCTGGGACTTTAACAGGTGGTATCACCACGATCAGGATGGACCTGGGAACAACAGCAATTAAAAGGTGGTCCCACGCTCCTCAAAATTTCCAATCTTCCGACCAAAGGCCTTGCTGCCGGATGTAGTTTATCGTCATACCCAGGACTACAGTATTTCGTAAAAACGAAACTGACAGGCAACGGGAATAAAAGAATTGTGCTAAGTCTTCTTGCCTGAAAAATCAAAGTTTGATATTCTAGATTCTTACCCGAGGTCGAATATCGCCCGCTAGAGGAAAACAAATATCATGTCTGCTGTATCGTTATTTATTGATCCTAGCCTAGTTTGGCCGAAAGGCACAATAGTGGGAAACACAGCAAAAATTGAACCTACTACAATATTTAATCTTGCTATATATACAAGGAATGTGACAATGCCAAAAGAGTGATGGGGAATGTTGGCTTTAATCTGTCTTATCTTTAACGTAGCTAGCCACAAACACTGACCCAAATAAACTACAAAATAACTTACACTAAAACA